TGTGGTGTTGGTTGTAATAATGCCCAAGTTGACACCAAGTAAGGTGGCAGTTGAAGCCGCCCTAGTGTTCAATCCCCAAAGATTCAACGACGTTCCACTGCACATAATCGCCCTCTGGAACAGGCCTACGACAGATCCTTAGATGATGGACCTAGTTGATGGATCAATCAATATTTACCTGTAGTGCGGTTGGTGTGCAACAATAAATGAACGGAAACCGATCCGGCGCTTTCTCCTGATATGGTTACATTGTTGGGATCGCCTCCAAAGTATGCCACATTGTCTTGGACCCATTGGAGTGCTAGAAGTTGGTCTTTGATCCCCCAGTTACCTGGGCAGGCTTCGTCTTCGGTACTTAGAAAGCCGAATACACCTTAAACGACACCGTTGTTGGCTTTTCGTAACAAAATTTTAAATGGTAATCAACAATATATGAAACACTTTTTCCACGGTTCTTGCTTCACTTAAGCGATTATTTTTTAATCTATTCAATATAATATTTTAAAATTTTCTGCTTTCAGCTGCTGCGCTAGCGAGGGCATGGAAATCAACTTCGATCTGCCGAAGATTTGGAAACAATGCTCAATTTCTAGCCAGTTTTTCTTTATAGGAATCTCGTATAAAGCGAGAAAATCACAAAAAATGTTGGTTTGCGACAATAAATTAACGGAAACCGATTCGGCGCTTTCTCCGGAGATTGTTACATTTTTGGGATCGCCCCCAAAGTATGCCACGTTCTCCTGGACCCATCGGAGGGCCAGAAGTTGATTTTTGATCCCCCAGTTCTCTGGACAGGCTTCGTCTTCCGTACTTAGAAAACCGAATACACCTTAGAGAGCATCGGATATTATAAGAAAGATTGTTTCCGAAAATTTTTACTAGATTAACTACAGAACGAAATTCTAAATGGAAAATCTGCCATCTAACTAAAAAAATATTACAATATTAATTGCGATTTGTTAAAGATCTTGTAAGTGGGAAAATTTACTATTATTGTTTAATATTTCAACATTCAAATTGACTTCATTGGACAACTTTTAAGCGTTTCTGGCATATTCATACATTAAATTATTCAAAACACTTGTTAAAATTACTCACCCATTCGATAATTGAAAGACACAAACACTAAATCTTGCTCCAAGAAGAAATCGGGAGCAAACTGAGCATAGCTGCTGTTAGACAGAAGGAAGCTTCCCCCATGTATCCAAACGAGAACTGGTAGGCCGGATGCGTTGATCTAAGATGGATGATAATCTGTAAATTTCTGAAAATGGGAAAAAGTTAAATTACATGCACTTACATCTGGTGTGTACACATTAATGTACAGACAGTCTTCCTGGCCAGCAAAGGTAAATCCCAAGAAGCCATCAGAATTCTGGTAGCACTCGCTTCTATCGTACGTCGCATTGTACACTCCGCTCCAAGCAGAATTTTTCACTGGGCTCTAAAAAATTTATAATTTAAAATAATAATAAAAAAATGGAAAAACTCACCGCAAATCTCAAGTTGCCCACTGGAGGCTTAGCATAAGGAATTCCTCGAAAGCTGTAAAAAGTAACATTTTCTCTAACGGTATTATTCACCTGCCCACGGATCGTTCCGTCAGGAATTGTTATTTCCACTGTCTGAAAAAACCGCATTTTTCCCGAAATAATTCTAAAACTCTTTGTTTTAATCGTACCTCTTCACATGTAGCCAGACTGATCTGGTAACCGAGACACAACATCAAGATTAATAAAATTTTGTTAAGCATAGTAGCTGTGCAGATTTGGGAATGATAATAGATTGCTCAGGTAATGGCCCATATAAAAGGAAACTGTGTTGAATTTAGTGAGCTTAAAGTTTGCATATATTTGCTGTTACCCAGCCTGCTTGAAAAGTGCTGGATAATTTTCCTACCCAGTTGTATAGTGTTGACTACCCTAATCCACAATATCAACAGAATTAGACCAAAACTCCTAAAATTAACCCTGCAGAGTTGAAACGCTCAGACAGAAAAGCCTGGATGAGGTCCTTCATACCCAAGCCAAACAAACCCGGTATTTTGCTTCCCTGGAAAGTTTGCGGAGACTTTAGTCCATTGAGATGAGTTGAAAAAATTCCAAATCGGTTATTGTGCGTATGTATAAAAACAATTCTCATAATTTCAGATTATGGAAGTCAACTTTGTTTTCAACGTTCAGGTTTTCACAGTTCAGGTGTAAGATTAGGTCAACATTTTATGTTTCCTGTCCCGTTTTTGTTTGTTTCTCGGATGCAAAATGAGCAAGAACGATCATTTAAACATAATTCCAGAGAGAACTAAATGGCATTTTTAGAAAGTGAACCATCGATAAGGAAACGTTGCAGTTTTATGAAAAAAATCTTCATTTCAGGAAGTTTTAGATTTGCGTGTTTTTTTATTGAGTTGCAAAATCGACTCAAACATGACGCTGCGTTTATCGAAGTTTCTCAAGAACCATTTGACCCACAGAATTCGTTTTGGCATCGTTAGATAGAGAATGAAACGTTACATTCAGTCATGAAAACATGAGTGAGGAATATCGAATAGTTTTGACCCAAAAAGCGAATTTTGAATATCAGACAGTTAGGTTCATAATTATGCCAAAATTTCATGTTTTCCGTCCCGTTTTTGCTCGTTGAACAATCGATAACGAAATGTGGGCGGCTTTCTCAAAAAGTCTTCATTTCAAGAAATTTTAGATTTGCATGTTTCTCTTTTGAGTTGGAAATTCGAATCAAACATGACGCCCATTGGTCCCACATAATTTGTTTTTGCATGGTTGTATAGAGAATTCAACATTTGATTCAGTCATAACGGACATGAGTGATGAAATTCGAGTAGTTTTGACCCAGAAAGCAAAATTTGAATATAAGACAAGTGCAAGATTATGCCAAATTCTCATGTTTTCCGCCCCGTTTTTGCTCATTTCTCGGAAGCAAAATGAGCAAGAACCACTCATTTTTACATCATTCCCGAGAGAACTAAATGGCCTTTTTAGAAAGTGAACCATCGATAAAAAATGTTGGCAGTTTTCCCAAAAAAGTCTTGTTTGCAAAAAGTTTAGAAGAAGTTTAGGTGCAAGATTATGCCAAAACATCATCTTCTCCGTCTCTCCGAAATTTGAATATCATACATTGAGTAGCGGCGGATCCAGCTTTCAAGTCAAGGGGACCCCCTCTTGACGATATAGTAGAAATTTAGTATTTTGTTGTCCACGAAATTGGAAAAAATTTCTTATTTCAGAACTGAACATTCAGTTAAAAGGGTCTACATTGGCAAAATTCCCAAAATTTCGCTCAAAGTTTATCAGCTTCTGAAAAATAAATGTTTTTAGGGATTTAAACGAAATTTCAGATCTTGAAAAATCAGCATTTGGTCCACAGTCAGAATACATTTTGGAACTAATTTGATTCGTCAACTCGTTAAACGAGAGGAAAACTTGTGCCAGTTTAAGGCTGGCAAAACTGCCGGTTTTAAAACTTTCGAAAAATAGTTTCATATAAAAGTTGTTGACATACAAAGTGCTCACCTTTAAAAATATTTTATATGATTCAGAGTGTCTCAGAAATGCGAGGCAAGATCAAAGTGTATTTTTTTTTATAGATCTACCCATTTTTCATTAGTTCATGGAGTGCAGTTTGAAACTCTGCATTTGCACCTTAAATTGTTTTTTTCTTACTTGCTACGTTCGCAGATTATCGCCATTTCAGTAAAATTTCGCTTAAAAACACGGCATTTAAAAATTCATTGTAGAAGCAAAAGAAGCAGTGAAGATACAGAAAAATACGTCTTTCCAATCACCGATATCGATATGTCAAACTCCATCAAATTTTGACACTTATTTACTGAATTCCATAGCCACTTTACAAAATGTAACAACTTTTTGAAATTTTTAAATAAAATAATTTATAATTTGAAAACGGTTGATTTTACAGCTTGAAGTGTAAATTCAAATTTGTAACTTTGTAAATTGTCTATCTAATGACGTATTAATATAAAGGTACTTCCATGTGAAAAACAAAAGTTATATTACGTTAAAAAGTGTTAGATTTAAGTCCACATTGTTAACACCCTGTACAACTTGTACATTGTATTGATATTTTGGTTCAATAAAATTCTTAACGAATCTGGGGTGATTGGAAAGACGTATTTTTTTGTAACTGCTTTTTTTGCTTCTACAATTAATTTGTAGATACTATGTTTTTAAGCAAAATTTTACTAAATGCTGCATGTGCAGAGTTTCAAGCTACATTCCATGAGCTAATAAAAGATGAGTAGTTCTATTAAAAAAAAATACACTTTGATCTTGCCTCGCTTTTCTGAGACATTCTGTATCATATAAAATATTTTTAAAATGTGCATACTTTGTGCATCAACAACTTTTATATGAAACTGTTTTTCGAAAGTTCAACTCCAACGGAACTAATTAACTCTCTCGCACTAAAAAACCACCCTGTGTATGCGACTGAATTCTAGACTTTTCTTTTAAAGCGATGAACTGCCTACATTCTGTTTGCTTATGTGGAGTAAAGTTCCTGTAGGATTAGATATCAAAGCTCACTTTCTTGGCAACAATGAGTGCAACAAAGGCGCCTTAAATTTGAATTAAACACTGCACACGAAAATAAATAAAAACATTCCAAAAGCTAATAACAAACGTGCAAATCAAGGAACCGATTGTCTCCTCTTAATTCAACAGCCCACAAAATCATATTGACTAAATCCAAGCTTCACCTTTCCTTTGCGGGTGCTTATTGTGTTTCAGCTGCACAATACCGACATGCGGAAATGCGTTTCACCCCCCCAAAATCGCCTTTTATTTGTCCCATGGGATCGTGATTGGGACTAAATTTTGGAAATTAGTGAATCACACACCAATAAAGCAATGCGTGATCGTAAACAAGCAGATGTCGAATAAGAGGGTGTGCTGGAGGGACTTAACATTTAATTTAGAGAATTAAATTTTGGATCTGCCCTGGTAATTTATCAAGTCTGCTGACGATGTAAGGTTTCTATTAGAAACGGAAAATCATCGTGGGCTTTCGATAGGCAGACGTTGGATACGTAATTGTTTTTATAGTTACGGCGGGTGATCTAATAGTTTTCTTAAAGCCTTTGGAAAACATAAGCTTTGAAAAAATTCCACTGTCTGCCAAACAAAGAAAAATATATTAAATTAAATCAACACCGAGTGAAGGTGTTCTAAGCAATTATGATCTTTCTGCATTATAGTGGCAAGCTATTTATAAAACGGCTAAAAGTAAATGAGATACGCTTATATTTGGCCTAAGTGTTAGCAGTTTGATCCTTTTGTCATTTCTGAATCCAAAAAACAAATTTTCCACTGACGCAATATTTTTGAAGGTTTTATCTCTGGGGCAAATTTTGTTTTTAAATCGAGGGCAAAACTGCCCATGAATGCGTGTCGCAATCCTCAAACCAATTAGCGTTTTACGACTTCCAATAATGCTTTATCTTCATATAAAATTGGCAATTGCGGGCCGTTTTCATTTAAAGTCTATTCAACTGCACTAAATGAAACCCATTAAACTAGTGATGTCTGAGTAGATCCGATAGCGCTTGATATTTTTAGCTGGAAATTGCCCGACTTTGAAAAGAACCGAGCATTGGAGAATATCATCTGTTTACAGATATTTGCCAATAGTTTTTTATTTCATTTAATGGAAATTTGCTGACGACCGGAAAATTTTGTACTTTTGAAAGTAGAGGCTTGAGAATAACTGTTATTAGTCACTAGCAGATGAAGGGTTTTGTGTTACTAAGCATGAAAAAAATGTTGAATCTGGTTGCGCTACTGGAAGTTGAATTGGCACAAATTGCGTAAAATGGATTGTTGGTCCCGATAAGCATAAGCCTTACTTTAACAACAGCAAGGGATTTAACTTAATGTAGGCCAAGCCGAGATTAGAGTCCAAACGGCTACTGGAATTATCCACAATCCAAGTTAAGTTAATACGAGTAGAGTTAAGCAAAAAATAAAAAAAAAACTTCGTTTCGCTCAAAAATGTTTAAACAGCTCCCAACATTTTTTATTTTTAAATTTGCATACTTAAATTAACCTACTATTTTTTAAATTTGCTCAACCTTAACTAGGTAAATCGAAAACTGTTAGTACTGTAATTTTTCCTGATGGTTTGCGAAATGAGCGAAATCTCCTGTAGGGATGGAAAACATGTTTTGCCGTGTTCAACATGGTATGATGGTGTTAAATGCAGATGAATGGACCACAATGCGGAGCGGCTGCACATCGCAACAATAGCGGCCTCAGTCTGAAACGGTCGGCCGGATAGAACGCGACTTGTACTGCGGATTATCGTGCAAAGAAACGCGAAATTGCCGATAAAAGTCGACTTTTATGTTTTATCATTTTTCGAGTGTGCTCGGTTTTGGACAAATAAAACCAGATTTTGGATATGGAGGCTGGCAGGTCGCAGCCGTAATTGTCCCAAGCAGTTGATGGTTAGTTTCAATGTTTTTAAATTCGAGTTTTTCCAAACCCGCAAAGCTCAAGTACTTGCAGGAATGAATGAATTATTTTCTGAATCAAAATGTGGAATTTAGATAAACAAATTTTTCGAGTTTTATAGCTACTTTTAATTCGTTTTCCTGCTTCTTTGCCAAATTTTAATACACAGAGCTGATTCTATTTAAATTGTTTATGTGCAGGAATACGGCTGCTTTATTACGCAAAACTTGCTCATTTGCCTCACCTTTTCTCGAAGCATTCGCTTTGTGAATTTGTTCTCCAAGTAAATTATTCTTTTAATGCTGCTTTCATTCATTTCTCTATAAGCTCAAAACTAAAATAAAGCTTTGAGATAGAATTCTGCGCCATTCAACTTTTATACTTCTGCAAATTGTCCGGAAATCATTAATTCGAGCGCTTGAGGAGAACATTTTTATAAACGAATTTTCACTTGTTTGGCTGCCTTCAATAAGACTCAATTTTTTCTTTAAAAATGTGCTGCTGCAGTCATTGTGAATTTGCAGATTTTTATTTAAAATCCACCACAAAATTCTTAAATATAATTCTTTTGGTTTTAATTATCGGCTTACTGTCGTGATTTCTAGCTGTTTGTCTCTTTGCAAAGCTTATTTAAATCGGCGTAAACCCAAGATTCCAACAGTTCAGACTAACCCACCTTGAAAATCCTCTTTGCACATTTGTAATAAATTAGAATAATTTATCTGTAAATGCGTAAAAGTGACTTTTCGACTCAATTTTGAATATTTCAAACTTAGCTCAGAAATACGATACTGGATTATTTGATTTTGGGGTTTTTATATATATTTTCGATAATGCTTTAATTGTAATTTATATGTGAATTGTAATTTAAATCAGTATTAATAAGTTATACATTTTTAAGTTCCTTTCAGCAACAGAAACGAAGTTGACAGTTACAGAGACGACGAGAAAATCTGAAATTGCTGCAATTTTGTACTTAGATGTTCATCTAGATCCTTCAGTTTGATTCAAAACACTCAAAATGTTTTTGAAAAGTTCTGGACATTTAAATTTTTGCGGCTTTAAAAAAAATCAAAATTCAAAATATCAAACATTTTCTATCCGCTGTAGATTGGTTGGCGATTTTTAAAAACAGAGTTCAAATTCAAACACGCGTTGGTAAGTAAAATAATAAAAAAAATCAGGAACGCAAATGCAAAAAGCATTCTGAAATCTTCTCACTAAATAACTGAGACTTTCGTGATAGAATTATAATTTTGAATAAACTTTCTTCAACAGTTTTCCACTTGCGAATGATAAAAGAATATTTTTAAGGAATAATTTGGAAAAATTTTCTCTTCCAGCTATCCGAATTATCCATTTGTGAATTTAACAAAAAATGCGTGCTCTATTGAGAGCGCAATTTTTAGGAGATTTTTGAAAAAATTATTCATAAGCTTGCAAGTTCTGCATTTACTAAAGTAAATTAGTGCAATTGAGCTTTTCATGAAAATAGGAAATTTTTTAAAAAATTTGGAAATTTGGTATTTAAATAAGTATAATTCTCAACGTTTGAATTGGTTACTTTTAGAAACAATAAAAATTTGTTGAATGTCCTGGTGTTGGTTCTTTACAAGTTCTAGATTTCTAAATGTAACTGTGCAGGATTGAGAATTCAGTTAAAAAAAAACGATAAAAAGATCTCAAAAAATTAACAAAACTATTTATTTTTTGAGTTAAATTAATGAACCAAATTTTCTACCCGCAGTTTGCGACTAAGTCTCAAGTTGCCACCAATATAACTTTACGGTTTAGACAAATAAATTTGCACAATTGATTTTTTGAGGTAAATTTGATAAGATCGAGATAGTTTTGTAAAATTCAATAATCCACCACATTTTTCAATTGAGGCTGTTGCAATAGCTAATCGTAAAATTTGAGAATGTTTGTATGCAAATATATTTAGAAAATCATTAAAAATCAACAAGATGTCTGAAACCATGTTTAGCGAGCAACTGTAATTTTTTGTAACTTCAATCAATGTATAAGAGGAGAAGGTTGATTAAAAAGAAGCTCAGGCAGCAGTTCCCTGACAAGATTTCAACCGTTTTCTAAATACAACAGGCATTTCGAAAGTGAAACTTTGTAGAATTATCAACCATTTTATCTTCATCTGTAATTTATGCTCTACAACTGATTTATATTGCAAGTTTAATTTTATGTTACAAAATACCACAATAAACCCATTTTTAAGCAATAGCAGAAATTTGGAATTTCAAAGTTTCGGGTATTCTATGGGCTATTGATGAGCAACTTCCTGCTATATTTCGTAAATTCCTTGGTCAGCTACAATATTAATTTTGAAAAATAGTTTTTGATTCTATCTTTGCAAAGCAAATTTTGTAAGCATACATAATTATAAATTAAATGTAAATATGACCAAAAAAAAAATCCGAAATATTTCAGTCTTCAGAAAATAATTATTTCGGAATTTTATGCCGATGAGGTTTGAATCTTGTTCTCTGGTCTACTCGTATTTTACCCATGCATATAAATGCCAGTCTTTTTTTAAATTTTATTTGGTAGGTAATTCATCACTTCTCAGTAGTTTTCATCTTCCTGCATTACCCTGTGCAGTAGTTTATTATATGTAGACTTGAGTCATCCGCAAATTTGTATTTTCTATAGCTGGGCGAACCATGCTAAACAAATGGGAAAGTCCTACCAGGGCTGGGACATCATGAATCCTTTATTTGCTTTATTGGCACAAGTAATCTGGAGCAAGCAAAAAGCGAACTTCAAAACATGAACTCTTTTTTTTTTCAGTTTTAACAAGTTTTCTCCAAAATGGTCAGTTTCGAACTCATAAAATCAAGATTGCAAAGTGTTTCTTAAATAAATCATCTTTCTGTTCTAATAATACACCATGAAAACCGAGCCAAAACAAATTAATAAATCCTTTGCTTCTATTGTGATTTTAAAAATAGCCTACTTTTAAGGATTTTTACAAAGTTGATAGAAGCATTGTCAGCATGAATCATAAATTTCACATTAAGAATTGCAAAGTCACTCCAGTAAGAAGTTTCCAGACAAGTTGCATCGTTTATCTCAATCTCAAGATGCCTGATTGTCCCCGAAAATTTTGGCAAATATCGGCGTGTTAAATAATGAAAAAAACCCATTTACTTTATGGAGTTGGAACGCTAATCTAAAGACAAAGCCAAACAAGCAATTGCCACACATCAAGATAGTGGTTACCAGAAAATGTACAGAGATAAATTGTTGCATGTTGATTGCCACAAAGCGATGACAAATTCTCTAATTTTAAGTTTCTAGGTCAGTAGGCTCCGAAATGAATGCACACAAGTGAAATAATATTTGAAATTCAGGAAGTGAACAGTCTGATTGGAAGATTTGCGCAATTTCGGCACATTTATTTATCTAAAGTTGGCACGCAATGCTCCCAGATGAAGAACCACACGCGTTGCTAAATGTCATTGATGAAATGATAATGAGATGATAATGACCCGAAAAAACCAGAACTGAAAGGTTACTTTTCAGGTTTACAAGAGGATGTTCGCGCCTTCTGAACTGCAATACCCGAGGTGGAAACCGTCAATGTTACAAGGCGAGTGTTTTCATCGGAAATTCTGAAAAAACCATTATCGGCTTTGTTTCGTTCAAGTGAGACGTTTTATTTGGCCCATAAAAAACGGGCCAGGAATAGTCAGTCCGACCAAACCCGAAAAAGAAAACAATCCTATGCCCGAAATAGTACAGGCCAAGAGGGTAACAATTGAAGTGTAAATTTCGGAAATGGAGTTATTGCCCGTCTGGAAGACGCTTTTGATGCTCGGTTTTCCGACAAATAAATAGAGTAAATCTCTTTTCCACTGGTTTATTTTCAATATAATATAAAGCGCGTGGGATCCAAGAAACCCCGCTTATCATCAGTATTTTTGTTCAATAACAGATATGGTTCAAGCCCAGAAGAATTGCAGCGATAATCTTTTGGCTTAATGCGCCAAACTTTTCATGAAGTCATCAAGTCTCTCGATAGCAACTTTGTAGCTCTCAATAACATACAGGATAATGCAGAAACGCTTCATTTGTCTTTGATAAAGCAGTGAATAGTGCCACATTCAAATGTTTGCACGTGAAATAGGATCGGAAGGATGCAGCCTTTCAGCGAATGAGGAAATTGGAGGAGCGAAATCAGATTGAAGGAAACAGTGCAAATGCATTGGCAAATTGTCGGCCTTAATTTCAGCTTAAATAATCTGTTTGAGAACGGAATTTGGGAATACAGGATGATTAGAGTCGAGACGTTGGCCCACTAAAAACACTGTTCTAATTTTCTGCCAGTGTCTTTTGACGGTCACTTGTAAACCACAACATCTTCTAAGCATCTGTTTTGCTTCTTTAGCGGAACTTTCTTTCGCTAGTTCTTAAATTTCCATTCCCCACTGTTCAAAGTTTTCATCATTGGAGCATTCAGAAACACTCAGCGAGCATTAACCAGTTTTTTACTGTTCCTTTTATTCCAGATGTTAGATCTCAATCCAGACATGCCCGACTGGAAGTGAGCGACCCATCATGCGACTGAGGCACTCGCGATCCATCTTCTGCTTCTGCTTCTTCATCCACGTGACCTTGGCTTATTCGAAAAATGACTCGCCAGTCAAAAATGGCCAAAGAACTAATCCGAAAAAGCACAATCCGGCTAACGTGGAGAACAGTGGCGTGGCAACACTGAGACACTCATCAAAGTTTCCCCATTTGGACCAAATCAGGACCAGAATTGCGGGCCTGGATAGTGATCGGCGATTTAGTGATAGGAGTTTTAACAGTGACGCTCGATGGGGCTTTGGTGATTCGGTGAGACTGCGCCATCATGGCTGGTCCAATCGGGCACGCGTTACGACCACCACTACCACCACCACGCCCAGTCCTGATGATGACTTGTTCAATAACTATGGGGAATTGGATGGGGATGAAATGGTGAGTGTTTGTCTAGTAGATTTTGCAAAAATCCGACGATTTGCTTTGATAAAACAGATACCTTTGCAGGAGAATTGTTCTATTTTGCATATTACACGTAAATGTTCTACATTCGAATTGGATTACAAAAATAAGTACTAACACTTCTATTTAAAGGTTCACACAAATAATTTTTAAGCCAAAACTTTAGAAGAAAATGCATTTAAAAAAATAGCTTGTAGAAGGACTGCATCTCCACAGTTCTTTACACTTTCTCGACAGAAAACTGATGTTGTGAAGTAAGGTCAGTAGTTATGTGCTCAATTGCGTAGTTGATATATTAAACGCATTGAATTGCAGACATTTATATGTCGTTTAATATATTTATATAGATTTGGGACCTCAATTGAGAAACATATTTTTGAAACACTCACTCAATTCCCTTCAACTCACTTTTGCCTTTTAGTTCCTTCCGTTATCTTTGCCAATCTATACATTAAGCAGCAGATATGTACAAATAATTAATTCCAAACTTTCTTGTTTCATTATAGTAGTTGTCGCAATTAGAAAATCAATAATGCCACGCTTTCAATAGAGAAAGAAATACAGAGGGAGTGCCATAATCGGGCCATAATAAAGCAAAGTTGCCGTGAAGCTGGAAGTATAACAGCCGACGTTTTTAGCGAAAAGAATTTTCCAATGTCTTTATTTGAATAGTTCTCAATCTGGTTATTTTTAAAAGCATGTGTCAAGCTTTTTTGGCCAATTAGCAACTTATTCTTTAAGAGTAGATCTGAGTCTAATTATCTGAGTCGTTTATAATCAAAATTTTTAAAGAATTTAAAATTAATCAAAATTCTTCGATTTTTTGCACGCAAAGCGCACAACTCTGAAGATGTCTATGTGTGCTAGCAAAGCGTTAAGGCCGACAGTCTAATTACGACCATCCAAAAACCTGAAAATTAAAATTATTGTGCATTTAAAGCATCACTCATGTTCATTAAGAGCTGACTATGTCTTTGGACTGTTCGAGAAAGTAATATTGAAATGGTATTTACTATACATATACTGAATCATCTGGTCGATATAAATTGCAAGGACATAAAATGGAATTAAAAGAAACACATCAATTTGCTAAAATTTGGAACGCAGTTGTTTCATCTTTTAGAAGATTTAGGCATATTGATTATATAATAACTGACATGTTTTTAGAACACAAATGCAGCCTTTACACTGAAACCTACAATTTTGAACTACTTATTTAACGTAAGGAACCACTAGCTTCCAAAACATTAACGTATAAAACTAGTACAATTTGGAACGTTAATTTACACCCAAGTTTAATGGAAATTGAGTGCTTCCATCATGTGTTGCTTAGAAAAGTGCTTGTAATTGTTCGATAATCCGACAAGAGTTAAGAGAGTTCTATTGGTCAGATGATTTATACATACATCCGATGTGCGAAGTTTTTGCGGGTTTCAGTCATTTATTGTCTTTATTTATCAATTAAAATACGTTTCGGTGTATTTTTCCACCATCATCAATTTTTCTAAAACAACATAGTTAAAAAAAAATTTCATTAATTTAAAAAACAATCACAGTTCGTCAACAGCCTCATCATATCACACATTAAAATACATCACAATTGTAACACTTTAAAACATTCTAAAATTAATTAGGCCTAACAGGTGATTAGTTAGGACAATCAAATTTGGGAAGAGACTAGAATTCTTCTTTTGGGAAGAGAATTCTTTGTTCAGATACTTAAATATTTTTACTTACACGTGTAGCGTTGTTGCTGCTTTAGGCCTTGGCATACATTTGTAGTATTAATTTTGTCCATTTTGGACACAAAGCGAATAAAATATTGTTTATATTGATTTATTTTACTCTCAGCTATTTTTCTTTGAATTCTGAGAATATTATTTTTGGTTTGCAAAATTCTTCAATATACCGGGTGAGTTAATATTCTATGTTTATTTCATTTAATTAATGTATGATATAGTGAGCTAAGATTGTCGGTATCCGATCTGAAATTAATAGCATTGTTATGTTTTTTAATCTGTATCATTTAATGGACTCTTTTCTTGTTATAATTACTCTCGTTAATCAATATTTTTGTGTTATCAAAATCAAAATTATGCAACTTCTGTTGTGCATGCTGTGCTAATGCTGTACCATTTTCGTTATTTTTTCTTAG